GTGCACTATCTGGGGGGGTGTACACTATCTGGGGGGCGAGTGCACTATCTGGGGGGGTGTACACTATCTGGGGGGTGAGTGCACTATCTGGGGGGTGAGTGTACTATCTGGGAGGTGAGTGTGTGCACCCTCTGGGGGGTGGTTTGGCAGCAGGTACTCTGGCCTGCAATGCAGTGATGAGACCCTCAGTGATGACCCCATGGAAGCTGCCCTGAGGAGCAACAGTTTGTCCAGCAACCACTCTGGGCTGGAGCCAACCAGGTGCGTCAGCTTGGGAGGGTCAACAGCCATGTTTGAAGAAGAGGGGGATTGTGTGCCTCCTCTGTTATTCTGCTGGGGGTGTCCTGGTTTTGATATCCTGGTGATGGGTATCAAATTACCTGAGTGGCTGAAAGCAACATCCACCTATTATCCTAGTCCACGGGTCAGGAGTCCAGCCCAGCTTGGCTAGGTCCCCTGGGCAGGGTCGTCCATGGCACAGTCAAGGTGCTGGCCAGGGGCTCCAGGGAATGCCTGTGCCGCCAGCCTCAGCCTACCCTTCTCCCTGCCAGACACCCCAGAGCCAGAACAGAAGCAGCCGCCAGAAATACCCTGCATGCGTCCCACATGGCTGGGAAAACGCAGCATGTACATCGGTCACCCAGAAGCAGTGTGTTTAGTCTTTGGCTTAGGGCTTTGGAAAACGCTCAGGGAAATGCCGAGGCCACGTGGAACGGCAAGACCCAGGAGGGCAGGTCCTGGCAGCGATGTGCAGGTTCTGAGCGAAAGCAAGAGAGACCGTGTTGACCATCTTCCCCTCCACCCCACGGCATCGACAGTGGAGCTTCTTTCCCAGAGAGTCGAGGATCCGGGTGCAGGACAGGTCCCCTTGGGCAGGGGCACGCGAACCTGGCCGGCTCCCCAGGGTATGAGTTTTCCAGGGCTGCCGTGACCAAGCGCCACAGACCGGGCAGCTCCAACAACAGAAACGTACTGTCTCGCAGTTCTGGAGGTTGGAAGTCCAAGATCAAGGTATCGGCAGGGTTGGTTCCTTCTGGGGGTCTTCTCTCTATGTGCACACTGCTGCCCCATGCATGTCCGTGTCCTGATTTCCTCCCATCTTACCAATCAGGGCCCACCCACATGACCTCATTTTACTTTAATCACCTCTTTTAAGGTCCTGTCTCCAAACACAGTGGTAGTCTGTGGCACCGGCAGTCAGGACTTCCACACTGGAATGTGATGGGGACATGGCTCTGCCCACAATACCCTGTGGCTGAGAGCCAGCTATGATGGCCACAAGGTAAAACCCGGGGAACAAAGCCTGGCTTCAAATTGGCATTTTACACCCGGGTTGCCTTTGCCTGTTTCCCAGTTATCCTGCTATTGCCAAGGAAGCGGCAGGAGGGAAACAGGGAGTGAAGGATGATCCCAGGGTTCCGGGCTGGCCTGAGGTCAGGGTGACTCGTGGGGTGTCGAGAGGAAACCCAAACCAAGCCTTCAGGCCAGCCCGAGGCATGCAGCCACGAGTAGCTGGGGTTCCGGCTGGGGCCGGGGGAGAAGGAAGCCAAAGGCTAGCCACGGCCTGGTGCCCACCAAGAAACGAGGACACCAGCGGCTTTGCAGGGTTCCTGTTCGCCATGTTCTTCCTCCAGTTTGACTTCAACGCAGGCGGTCGGAGTAACTTCAGAGAACAGCGTGGCCAGTGAGCTGTGACTGATCTAGGAGTAACGAGCGTAGCCAGGGACGGGCTCAGGCACCGTCGGGCTGTTCTCTCCGTTTGCAAACTTCTCCACTTGTCCGATGGAAATGCAGAGTTGTTTTGCTGGCACCTGGGAGTTCACACGAGCACAGGAGGGTGCCTACGGACGCTGAGGCGGCAAAGGGCTGGACAATGCCACATCGCAGCTCCAAGTTCACCCTGCATCGCCTGCCCTGCTGATGCGGCTGGGCCCGTGTTACGCTTTGTAAGCAGAGAGTGCTGCAGAGACACTGCAGGAGGAAGGGCTTTCGCAGGTGCGCACAGCAGGGCATGGCAGTGACCAGTGGCCAGCACCTCCCCCAGCAGCCACACTGTGACAGTCCCCAGAATCCTAGGAGACAGATTTGCAGCAGGTTCTATCAGCATAGCAGCCTAGGGACTTTTTGGCCATCCAGCAGGCCATAGCTGTGTCCTCTCCAGCAAGGTCTGGGTCTCAGCTGGGGTGTGTGGGGGGCTCTGCCTGGGGACGGTGGCTGTCCCTCACATGTGCTAGTCCTGTATTCTTGAGTTCTGGTCACTTTTCACCAGCTAGGCCCTCATTACTCCAGTCCCCTGTTGGAGTCAATGGTTCTTTCCGTATGTCGCGCTTTCCCTGTAGGACGCTATCTGCTGGCAGGACACTGCTCACTCAGCTCACGCTGTCGGGGCTGTTCAGAGTCACCTCCCAGACCCCGACCTGGCCCTTCACCCAGTCCTCTGCAGGAAGCGAAAATGTTCAACACTCTTCATCATCCCTGGGCCTGAAATGAATTAATTCAGCCCCAAAGTCAGGCAGCACGGCATCCACGCGGTTTCGCATAGTGACTTAAATCTGAGAACCTCACTGAAATATTTCGAATCGTTTCTGGTGCAAATTTTTAAATGATGAGAACTTCCCAGACTTGCACAAGAGAGCGGGCTTAGATGTCACCCTGAGGTGTGGGTTACATCTCTGCCTCATTCTCTGTGTGGATAAATGTTGGGGTACCGCTGAGAGGTAGGTGCAGCTGCCCAGAGCCCAGGGTTGGCGGGCAGATCCAGCTCAGCCTCCCTCCTCCATCCGGTCCCCACAGACCCTTGGACACTGCTGCCGCCACCCGGGCTTCCCGCCGGCACCTCGGACCAGCCCGCCCGAGTCGGGCCCTCACTCACTGACACTGTTGCCCCAGTTCTGCTGCCCCGACCCCGCTCAGGGCCCACAGAACTGTGCCCCTGCCCATACAATTCCCTTCCGTGGCTGAGTCTTCACGTCTCTGTGCATCGGCTCAAAGTCCCCACCACCGAAAAGCATTCTGCCAGCACCCTGCAGCGAGGACAGGGCCAGGCACGTGCAGCCCGTGCCCTCTGGCCCACGCACCCTCAGCCTGCCCCTGCCCCTCCCACACACGGCGGTGTGAGGACTGACCAGTCCTGGGACCCGCCGGAGTGGCAGGCACGGAGGGGGCGTTACCTGTACGCATTTTTGGAAACAGGGCGCGGATCAAACTTAAAGAAGATGATGCACATGGTTGCCGAGGGGGGCCTTGCTCTCACGGGGCCATGAGGTCTGTGGGAAAAGGAAAATAACGAGTTAACGGCACATGGCAGAACCCACAACAGCCCAGAACAGAACCACCTCTGCAGTGCCCACATGTGGACACCATGTAGCTAGCCAATGCCACACAAGTGTCTCCCAAACCTGCGTGCTCTTCAGCACTGGCCAGGCTGTCCCTCCACACCCATGAGGCTCGCAGGTCCTGGCCAGATCTACCTCCCAAACCCACCACACAGCCCTAAACCGAACACCTCTCCAGCTCTGCAGAGCTGGGCGGCAAGTAGGTGCTGGGGGTGGCCTCAGCGAGGACAGGAGCCACGCGTGTGGCTGGGGCCAACAGGCAGCAAACCCTCCCCTGCACGCATGTGTCCTCCCCTGCAATGGCACCAAGGGAGGCAGCCCTCGCCTCCGCCCGCAGCCCGCGGCCCTGCACGTGCCACTCACCTGGGGGGCAGGCCCAGCCCAGCAAACCCCCACCAACCTACAGGACCCCTCGGCGTAGACAGGGACACACGCCGGGGCAGAGGCGTGCGGATGCGGATGCGCACCAGGTACTGGGCGAGTGCACACTTGGCACACGTCCCTCCCCGTGCGGGCCCCGCGGGCGTTTCCCCGCGACCAAGGTAAGGACTGAGACGAGATGCCGAGACCACTCCTGGACAGACTCAGCAGCTCCCTACGATGTGCATGTGTGCAGTGACCTAGTGACAGGGCCTCAGGGTACAGCCGGTGCCTGCAGCGGGGACGTGGGACAGGCAAGATGCTGTCCAAATACTGGAGGGAGCCAAAATGAACTGAGGTGGGGGTGGAGGTGAGTGAAGATGTGTTCAAAGTACACACGCAGATGCGAGTCTGTCAAGGTGTATGTGCGAGTGCACAGACACGTCTGCGTGTGTGGCTGCATGTACAGGTGTACGTGTGCACGTGTGTAGCTGTGTGCACATGGGCATGTGTGTGTCTAGCGGAGCCCACTGCGCTCCAGTGCACCAGCACGAGATGCCCTAGGGGTCAGAGAGGGCTGTGCCCCATTTTGGGGTACGCTTGGGGTCAGAGAGGGTCCACTGAGTGGCCCTGTGGGCAAGGCAGACAGTCCCACTAGAGCAGGCGTGGGCTCCTACCCAAGAGGCCTATCAAGTGCATCTGTGGGTCAGGCCTGGTGGGGGCAGGAAGCCGGGTGAGACACCCAGACTCAGCTCTTCCTGCTCCTTGTCTCCAACAGGCTGTGGCTGACAGTCCCCATGGCTCTGGGAGAGGCCTCAGCCCTGGGGACAGTGAGAGCTCCCCGTCACCCCCATCATCAGTGCCACTGCTCCGATTCTTGGGTCTCTGAAACCAAACCGTTCTGCATTCTGTGTCTCAGAACTCAGGACAAGGACCGTTCCGTCACATCAGCCCTGCATCGAAGTTGGTGCCAGCACCATGGGGGCAGGGGGGGCGGCAGCAGGCGCTCGGGCCACAGCCTAAGGCCGGCACCACAGACACAACCAGGGCTCAGAGCCGTGACATCTCCCCGCTGGCTGGTATGGCCCAGGGAAGGAGGCGCCCAGGATTCACTCCACTGTCTGTGAAAACTGGTCCACTGCCGTCCCCAGCTGGTACCCACAGGCCACGCCCTGGGTCCACCGTGGGATCCTGGCCCTGGAGGGGCCCCAGAACTCAGCCTCAGTTCAGGGCACTCGGCCTGCATCCCTTCCTGCCCCCCTCTGTGCCGGGCCCCTGTAGGCCTGGGAGTCAGGGGTGGCCACTGGGGACCAACTCTCTGCCCAGGGAGGAGGCCATGGTTTGCAGGTGCGGTGTTGCCATGGCGATGTGTGCCATCTGCAGAAGCATGGGCGCTGGGGGGATGTGCTGCCATTGGAGAGGGGCTGCAGGCCCTTCACAGGACGGTGAGCCAAAAGGGGTGCCGATGCAGGGGAGCCGCGGGGAAGGGTCTGCAGGCATGAAGTGGCCTGGGTTCCCGCCCTGGGTGCCCTGGCAGGGCCACCAGGGCCACCACCCCAGGGCATGCAATCTGTTGGGTCCAACTCTCTGGGTAAAAATAACCCCGAATGCTTGGTAAACATACAAAACATCTTAAAAGAAGCCAAGAGCTGACGAGATGATGCAGGAGTTGGCCAAGACCTCAGTGAACACGGGCTCTGAGAGGATGGTGGGGTGCGGTGGCCATTCCTGTCCCAGAGCACCTGCCCACCTGAGCACACTGGGGCATGGGCTCTAGTGCCCTCAGGGGTGGGGACACAGAAGATAAGACCCAGGTTCCCCCAAGATGGGGAACCTAATAGGAGACCCTCCCCGAAGTTAGGCCGGGACCCCAAAGAGAAACTCTCGGGTGAGTGTCAGCCCTATCCACAGCCACCCCCGGGGCCGGGGGACACTGCACAAAACTGGGGGGAAAGCCCTGAGTCGCTGTGACATGGCCCGACATCCCAGGTCCACGCCAGGGGTGCAGGGACCCTCAAACCAAACACTGGTTTAAGGGGCTCCCGCGCTGGTGGGGCCCTGGGCACCCAGTGGCAACAAAGTTCTCCCTGGGGGAAGAGGTCTTCATTCTAGACCTCACAGACTCTCGCAAGTCATTTCCCAAAGGCCGAAAGCAGCCACAGTCAGAGAACCACGGAGTGAAACCAGCACCGTGAGCACGAGCCAGCGCAAGGGGACCTGCACGTCGAAACCAAGCATGCTCTGTTCGCGGAAAGAAAAGAACAGCTTGAAGACATTTGCAGGGAGAAGGAAGTGACAAAGGGTAACCCGGAAGGGTTCCGAAGCACCAAGAACTTTCAGAGAATTCTTCTGGAAATGAAAGCTACAGTGATGGCAGATTAAAGCTCCGTAGTACATCTGAGGGCAGATTGGCGCGGCTGACGGGATGGGCACGCAGAACCATCCAGCATGCAATGTAAAGAGATGGGGGCAGGCTGGGCCTTGGGGGGCCCAGCTGTCCACCTGCCAGGTGCCACTGATGGGGCTCCCAGCACCCGCCAAGTGACCCAAAGGTGCAGGACCCTCACCCTGAGGGGCCAATCTCTTCCATGTGTGAGAACCCCGGCTGCGGGCCTTGCTGGAATCCCACCGGCCCAGCACTCTGGGGCTGCCCGAGGACAGCATTACCAGGGCTCTTCTGAGGGCCATGTCATGCTGGGTGTCATGAGGAGGCCATTGCTCTAGGCTCAGCTGACCTGGGCCTTTCTGGGCTGCCCACCAGCTGCTGCTGAGGCCACTGACACAGGCTAGATAGAAAGACCCCCCTCCCAGGTCAGCTGTAAGACCCACTGTCCTGGAGTGGGCAGGGGACCAGCCCTCCAGGCAGCAGCGGCGGGGAGGGCTCCATGGTCTGAGGGAAGGCCATGGACGGCCCACGGGCAGCCTGGCGCTGGCAGTGTGGGCGCAGAGCCCAGGGCTGTGGCCTTGATGAACACGCGGTCATTGAGAGAGAAGGACCAGAGGAAAGCCAGCCCCTGGGCAGGGGACCATCAGGAACTGCCTTTCTCTCCAACCCCTCGCCCCCCAGCTCCAGCCAGCAGGCCATGTCCTCCCCTTGCCAGCTTCACCGTCCCCACTAGGGCCTCTCCTTGGCCTAGGCCCCCATATGTTCCCTCAGCAAATCCACAGGGCCCCACAGGGCCAATGTGCCCCCACCCAGGCCCACCATGGAGCTCTGACACCCTGTCCACAGGCCACCATCTCATTACTGTTGTCCTGCCAGGCTCTGAGAGTGAGCCTTGGACACAGTCCAATCCTCTCGGTTACTGTCACTGCACTGCGGGCTAGGTGCAGGGCACGCAGGGGTGTGGGTGGCAGGAACCACCCCACAGGGCAAACACAGGGGCCCTGCTCATGCCATCCTGCCTGGCCACTCAGGGCCACTCCCCACGGCTCCCATGGCCAGCAGAGTGGGAAACCAGGGGAGGCTGGGCTCACCCTCTGGGTATCCCTGTGCCATAAGAAGCTTGCTCTCAAGGACACCGAGCCGGAAAGCGCAGGAGAGGGCGGTGTCCCAGGGAGAACTGTGCTGAGTTTTCCTGGTGGCACCCCGGCCCTGCCTGTTCCCACCCCCGCCAGGCTCCACACACAGGCCAAGCCGGGACAGGGTCTCCACATGTCCTCAGCAGCCCAAGAAGGCCGCAGCGTGATCAAAGCCATGTGGGGTTCTGGGGTTGCTCCCAAGGCCCAGAGGGCCAGAGCTGACCGCAGAGAGAGCAGTCGGAGGAAGAGGCAGGCAGGGGCCAGGCCCAGCAGCAGCCTTGCCCACAGGCCTCTGGGACCCCAGCCTTGTGGCATCTGAGCATCTACATGAAGCTGCATCATCATGCACCAGGTGCCACCTGCCCCAGGGGGCTGAGGTGGCCATGAGGGCAGCGTGCACACAGCAGCAGGCCTGCCGACAGCAGCCGGTGGTCACGTGCCCAGCACTCGCTCCCCCATCCCCTCACCTGGCCTCACAGCAACTGCAGCTGAGGAACAGGGCGGGTGGGGAGGGTCCCCAGCCAAAGGGGGCAGGCGCTGCAGAACCTGGCTCCCCGGGTGGGTCAGACCACTAGGGGACCTGGAGGAGGCTGGGCCAGGGCGGCCTGGGCAGGTTAGAGACAGTGGAGGTGCTCCTTCCCACGGTGAGGTCCCTCCTCAGAGTCCCAGGTCACACAGCAAGGACGTGGCAAGGTGGGCCTGGCAGGGCTCCTGTAGGCTGGACTCTGGGTGCAGGAGCAGTGAGCCGGCCACCCAGAGTGGGCATATGTGGGGTGGGGGGTCAAGGGGGCCTCCTGGACCCCACACCCACTCCCCAGAGGACCCCCAGAGGGCCAGGACGCTCCCAGCACTGGATCCGGACCTGTTCTTCCATATCGCCCTGGCACAGTCACTCTGCCCAACCATGTCGCGGAATCGTCCGGAAGCTGGCATGCCTCCACAGGGCCCTGCTGCCTCGCTGTTCACCCCATGACAGGGCCCACTCACTGACCTCCGCAGCCTGTGAGAAGCCCCTGGGAAGTCTGGTGGGCGACAGGGCAGCTGGCCTC